CCCGCTTCCTCTATAGCTCACCTCTCTCTCTCTCACAAGCTGACAGTCCCGAAAAAGGTGAACAAACACACAACCTCCTGCTCCCCTTCCTGTATGGTCTACCTCTCTCTCTCATAGGCTGACAGTCCCGAACACGGTGAACAAACACACAACCTCCCTATCTCCCCTTCCTCTACGGCTCACCTCTCTCGCACAAGCTTGACAGTCTCGAACGCGGGGAAGAAACAAACAAAAAGAGCACGAACCCCCCCCCTTAGCAGCATACACCGCACCCTTCACGCGAATCGCCGAATACCTCACGGCGCTTCGTGCTTGGTGATGTGAGAGCCTGGTCCGGTGAAAACCCGGCGTCCTCCGTCCCGGCTTTGTAGGGATGCGAGGTCAATGGTCTAACGACTACGGCATGCACGACTATGAGTACACCCCCGCCCCCCCCCTTCCTCCTGTGTAGGTCACCTCTCTTTCATAAGCTTGACTGTCCCGAACGCAGCGGCGGTAGCTATCCCGGAAGAGCACCCGCAAACTCCTCCGCCGTGTCCGAGGGGGCGGGACCGCGGCGGCTCCTTCGCCGGCTTCAGGCTGTTTTTGCGTAGACCGTTCATGCCATACGCATAGATAGATGCATGGCGCGCTTCAGGATATTATTAACGATCGTTCATACCGTATGCATAAACGCGTAGCGCGCTTGAGCAAATATTGATGCAGATCGTTCGTATCATGCACAGGCGAAGCATGTCTGGCTGTTCATATAACATACCGGGTGCGTATGTGCAGACCATGCATATCATATGCATGGCATGCTCCAGGCTCTTTGTTTACATACCTTCTACGTATGCACGGCATGCTTCAGGCAGTTACTACGTGCATTATTTTACGTCGTATGCATGCATAGCGCACGCGAAACCACAAAAAAAAAAACGACCGAAAAAAAAAAAACGAAACCCTCGAAAACACGCCTTCACCAACCGGCGTGGGGCCGCGTGACAAAAATGCCTGTGTGCTGTCGCTGTTGTGGTTGGAGCTGCCGTCTATGCTTAAACCCGTCTATTGTCATCACATCCATTTGTGTAAACAAATAGTATCCCTCATGTGCAAAAGTTCAAGTAATCATGTACATCATTCGTGGTTGCCGTAGGAGAGAGACTCGCTTATAGCCGTTGAGACTGGAAATGCATGAGCAGCTTGGCGGCCACCCAAAGTAGTCAGCCACGGTTCCGCGGGCACAGGGATAGAACCGGCCGTGAAATGGGGGGGGGG